AGTTTTAGTTTTGTTTTTAAAACACAATGAAATGGGCTGGGGGTCGAGAGGGAGGGGTATTGACAGAGCTAGGGGGTGCCCAGGGCTGGGCTGGCAGGGGCTGTGGGTCGGGAGTGAGGGGTGGCACAGCTGGTGGGGTGCCCGGGGCTGGGGCTCTTGGCCCCAGCAAGCCTCCTGGTATCCCCTCCCCCCAGGCTCCCCTGGGGGCTCTGCAGTGAGCTCCAGGATCTGCCCCCCCCCCAAAGAAGCAGCAGAGATGAGCAGGCCTCCTTTGCAGCTGCTCACACGCTGGATTCGGAAACCGAGGCAGGGCTGAGTGGGGAACAGGCCCCAAGAAGAGGGAGATGGCGGGGGGAGGGGGAGATCTGTCAGACACCTGCCCCCCCAACACCAGCACCCACCTCCAACGTGCCAGCTGGGCTGACGGCCCGGCCGGCGCTAATTCAAGCAAGATTCCCTCTAACCAGAGCCAGCTGGGCGGCTGACGGGCGCAGAGGCATAAACACGGCAATTATCGACTCGCAGCCCCCCGTTCCCTGCCACCACTGCCCACAAGCAGAGAGCACCCACAAGGCCCGGCTAGAGCCTGGCTCACTGCTCCTCCCCCCAGGGTCCCCAGCCATGCTGCACCCACCCCGGGCTGGACCCAGGATCCAGCCAGATTCCAGCCATCCAGGGCTTCGTTCCACCACAGCCCCGCCGGGTAAGACAGCTGGGCCTCAGTTTCCCCTTCCAGCTGGTGTCCGCTCAGGCCAGGAATATTCCAGGGTAGGGCCCAGCTCTCACGTGGGGTCCCAGCCCCGCTCCTTCTGGGGGTGGGCATGGATGCGAATGACCAAAGCAGTGCCCACGCCAGGCACATGCCAAACCCACGAGCAGCCTGCGCACAGACCAGCAGCTCCTTGGCCCAGCCTCCTGCAGGAGCAAGTCATGGAAGGTGCACACCGGCCATGGGGCACCGGGATGCCTGCAGAGATCCTGTGCGAGTCCTTTCCTACTTCCCGTGCCTCGGTTTCCCCACCTTGCAAGCCACAGCCAGCCAGGGCGAGGACTCCCACGGGACCTGCCAGTCCCTCGTCTGGGCCTAGGCTGGGAGCCAGCCCCCGGGCAGCATGCGCAGGAAGAGGAGACGTTTGTTGGTCCTTTGGTTCCTGCTGCCCAGGCTGTTTATAAACCCTCCCCAGGCAGGCCCAGTCCTGGGCTGCTGAGTCACGTGGTCCTGGCCCCCCGGCCCCAGCCCTTGCCGCGACTCGCCAGGCCGGGCACAGCAGAGACCAAACCAAGCGCCCCAGCCCCACGGAGCCGACCCAGGG